GAGGGACTTCATCTGGCCGAACAGGACGTCGTCCGTGCGACCCTCCTCGCGGTCCTCCGACGTCTCGCACAGACGGACGATCACCTGTGCAAGTCAACAATGCAAATCAGATCATGTATACACAGATGACAATCAAATACATATTTTTCTGTCTTTTGATACTATCCTAGACTACGAACAAACTTATTCACTGCAACAATTGCATTTAGTATGTACCTCAGTTGAAATGTGATAATAATAGATTAATTGATTAATGTAATCTCACCTTTCTGCCCGCCTGCTGAGCGTCGACAATGGCTTCCTTCAGCTGAGAATCAGAACTGCCCGACAAAGCTCTGCCCACCACTTCCCAGTGGCAGTGGCAGTCCCTGCAGAAGGCTTCCTCCTCCTGATGACCGTCAGGAACAGTCGTGCCGATTTCGACAGGGAGATTCTGTCGAGCGTACGACAGGAACGAAGAGAAACTGTCTCTCGTGTTTTCTGTGGAAGAAACATTTCTCAGTTTCGTTCATCGAAAGACGGCTTTTAGCCCAAAAGCCTTGGTTATCATTAACCGATTGATCATTCAGCAGTTTAAAAGATATAATGATCATGTCTAATTTTGTTTTTGAAAATTATGAACACGCATCTTCAAAACACAGAGGCATGATCTGCCTTTCTGACCTGCGCTCGAGTCCGCTTGTGGCGTCCAGCCGCCCACGACCAGGAACTTCCTCGGACCCGACATCTCGGTTGCTCGACGGAGAGTCATCGGGAAACGTTCTCGCTGGCCCCTGAGGCGAAGACTATCAGCCGCTGCCTGGGCGACGCGAGTTTTATACTTGGTCAAAAAAGCAAACAAACGTTCTTGGAGCTTCCGGTGTCCGGGGCTTTGCTCGCGCCTCGTTGGGAAAGGTTCGTCTATTTGGTTGGTTGGTATTTTACTTCTTCGAATCCATGCTCGTATTTTTCTCATCCTCTCTCTCTCTTTCTCTCTGCCATTCGCTCACTCTTTCTCTCATTCTGTTTCTCCCTTTCGCTTTTATCCTCTCTGTCTCTCTCTCTCTCTGTTTATCTCTAACCCATTTCAAAAACAAAGAAACCTTAAAAGAGGATAATTATGTTTTGCCTTTCACTTCTTTGGAATCTTTGAATCCCCAAAACGTGACTCACAGACACCGAACTTGACAACAAAGGTATCGTTAAAATTCTTAATAAAACAAAAGTCTTCATCAACCTATCCTTTTCTGGGTATTAGCACAGACCTCATTGTACGAAATCGTGTAAAGATGCATTCATGGTGCATAGTCATCTATAAATGAATAGGTGTATATACACATACACACATAAATATATTCTAATATACATACATACATATGTATATATATGTGTATATATGTGTGTGCGTGTCTCTGTGTTTATACTGATCCCTGCCTAATATTGAAAAAGCTTGTCTTTGGATGCATGTATCTAACAAATAAAGAATGCTCATCATGGCGGAAGACCCGATCTTCGGTCTCAAAACACCAGTCTCAAGACCCGCCCCTGAAGACGCCCTGCACGCCTGATCTATGAGAGAAAAAGTATTCGACAAATATCTCCCATTTGTCTTTCTTACTTTGAATTCCTCATTCTTTATAGTGTTACAGGAATGAAATGCGTGGGAGTGGCCCTATATATTTCATACCTTTATGAACGAATAACGTTATTGAGGAGCAAACGACATGATTTCATCTTTCGGAGGCGGAGCGATTCCGCCAGCGGAGGAAAGGCGAGGAGTGACGTCATACGAAAGGGTTCCTCCGAGATCTGCTTCCGGTGAAAAATCGTATAAAATGAGTCGTTGTCGTTGAGATCGTCAGAAGTTGCTTGTCACTGCTGAGGACAAGAGCCAAAGAAGACTACGGTGTTTAAGTCGTAAAAAAGAATAGAGAAAAGGAGAAAATGTCGGGCCAAAGGAAGTTCTTCGTGATCGGGAACTGGAAGATGAACGTGGACAAAGCCCGGATCGACCACATTGCCAAGTTCATGTCGGCGGCCTCGTTGGACCCCAACACAGGTCAGTTTCGTTTGTCTCTTATCAAAACTACCATCCAGCTGGTAATTCCCTCTTTGTTATGCAACATATAGAATTGGTAAACGTAATTTCTAAAAATCTCCTTGTCCCAAACAGAGGCCGTGGTTGGCTGCCCTTCCTGCTACCTGTCCTACGCCCGCCAGAGACTCCCTGACGAGATCGCTGTCGCCGCTCAGAACTGTTACAAGGTAAGATGGAGTACCCGTCAACATGATGGCAATATTTGGTAATATAATACATTCCGTGAGGACCATTGTCAGGTTACATCTAAAATCGAAACTAAACTCCAGTGTCACTTGACAATAGGTTGCCCACGGTAACTTCAGCGGCGAGATTTCTCCCGCCATGATCCTGGACTCGGGCTGCGAGTGGGTCATCCTGGGTCACCCTGAGCGAAGGACCATCTTCAAGGAGCCCGACCAACTCATCGCCGAGAAGGTCGCGCACGCGCAGCAGACTGGCATCAAGGTCAGCCTCTTCCTCATCGCTTTCTTATTTTTGGAGGATGTTTTAAAAGGACTCGTATGAGATATTGCAGATTTCCTTTTCTAAATATGCATGATTTATCAAATTCATCTTAATGTGCAATTGCAGATAATCGCGTGTCTGTGCGAGACGTCGGAGGACCGCGAGGAGGGTCGCACGGACGACGTCCTGTTCGGCCAGATGAAGTCCCTCGCCGCCAGCATCAGCGACTGGTCGCGTGTGGTGATCGCCTTCGAGGCTCTGTGGGCCAGCAATACCGGCGTCCTGGCCACAGCTGCGCAGGTACAGGAGGCCTTGGCCAAGCTGCGACACTGGCTGCGCGCCAACGTCAGCGACAAGGTGGCCAACAGCACCAGAATCCTGTACGCAGGTTCCGTTTCGTCGAGCAACTGTCGAGAGCTGGCTCAGCTGGAGGACCTGGACGGCTTCCTGGTGGGGAGCGCGGCCCTCAGACCCGACATCGTCGACATCATCAACGCCCGACGACCCGACGTGTCCAGCCTCATTGCGCACTTCGACCGACCCGACGGCCGACGCGCCTGACGCGGGCGGCAGTGCGCTCTTTTTGCCCGCTGGGTTTTGTACAGATATTTATGGACGAATGTAAATATGGGCGTTATCATCCTATGTATTTCTCATGTATGTTTTGTTATTCCCCCTTTTAACCGGCGAGGACTTTTTACTTTACTGTAATGCTCTCTTTTTCAAATAAAGTATTTTGAGATATACACGGTCCTTTCATATTTTCTAAAACCTGTATCAGAGCCCTTATATATGAATATGCATATGTATATTTATATGTATATATATATGTATATATATGTATATATATATATATATATATATATATATATATATATATATATATATATATATATATATATATATATATAAACAAACACAACGCCCCGTGCTTTCCTTCCACGCGGCCAATCCCGCCCTAATCCGCTCTATGGTCAAAGGAAACCACACGCGGACAGGAGCTACGTAAGGATTGTTTTCCCCATTCACTCACGTGTTCTTAGGACCCTTGTTGAGCAGTCTTATCATGGCGTGGTGCTTGTGACGTTATACGATACTACTACTCTGAGAGAAAATGTTCTTCATTATCATCCTTAATGTGCACAGACAAGCGCAAACATACAGACACAAACGCACCCACCCACAAACACATATAAATACATGTATATATATATATATAAATGAATGTACATGTATACACATATATGTGTGTGTATTGTTAAACAAGAACGGGCAAATGTCTACATTACTATTATTGCGGTCATTATGACTGTTATCACCATTACTATAAACAATACTGTTATTAATATAGTTATTGTTTCATCCTCATTATTATCATTATCATTAGCGTAATACTATTGTAAAAGGACGAATATTTAATTTACCAAATTTTCATACTCTCTATTTTTGTACCATTGTCGTATTAGTGAGTTTTTTTTTCAGAAACCATATTTATTTAAATGTAGGCCTATTCTAACTGCATTTACTGTAACGTTAATTTTGGGTCGCGTGACTTAAAACGGTCGTTTAAAGCTCGTGGGTCGGGAATGAATTTATGTCTGTTGAGCATGTGCCAAATTTTATTCTATTTTATCATTATTTTTTATTATTGTTTTATTTATCATTATTATTATTTTATTCTTTATTTGATTTCTTGGCTATCAACCAGCGGCATGTGGCCAAGGTTATTAAGCCAATGGATCCTATCAAATTTTAACGGTCACAGAAACGTTTAAAACCATGAATTATCACATCCTTTACGTAATGACTCATTCTTGTAAATCATCCGGCTGTTTTATTTGTCAAAACTTCGCAGTTATAAAGACAAAATAAGATAAATGATCAAATAAAGTAGACCTATCATGATTTCCGGAATTTACATGCATGTGCCTACTTGTAAATCCTCCATAAAAGGGTATATACAGACCAACTAAGGAACTTTCATCCTTCAAAACATCAAGATATAAAGACATCGCCAAAAAGATCAGTAATTAAAAACAATAGGCCTATCTTAATTTCCAGAAAAGCGAGTAGACCTACCGAAACGAAAAGCATTTGTACCACTTTCCTCATGTGACGTAACATGTCAAGATAAGGAAGGAAGTACATACATCCTTTCAGGAACGTTTGATATCCTGTAGAAGAAGCTGTTTCAGTCACCGGATGGGGCGCCTGTCACACAAGCGAAGGGACTCGAATGAAAGAGGTATTATGGTTTAGAAGATTAAGTAGAAAATGATAAGCACACGTAGTGTCGTCGTTAGGAGTGGGTGTAAGATTTCTTTGACTTCGCCCCCCCCCCAAAAAAAAAGAAGGAAAAAAATGAATATGACAATGAACAAATAAATGAAAACTAAAATAAAGTAGAAATAAATTCATTGATGTTAAAGGTTTAAAAAATGTGACTATTAATTGCCAGCGTGCTTGGTACCTTTTTGTAAAACAGCGTCACAATCTATCTCATTTTTTATTTATATTTATCTACTCCAGGGAATTTCTACGCATCGTTTTCAGCGGTTACTATGACTAACATTTGTAAGCACAATATTTCTTTTACCATTCCCAAATGGGAAAGGATAGATCAGCAGCAACTCGAGGTGTCGTTGCGCATGCGCACATCAACTACAGTTTGTGTTTACGATGGGCTAATTTTAGAGTTGCTCATGTTCATTTTGTACAATATCCATTATGAAAGTTTCAATGGCTTTTCAGGCATTTTTGGACTTCATAAAGGCCTGTTGGCCAGGTATCCTACACATCAAATAAAATACCTTTCTTTCATTCAATGAGTGCATGGAGGTATTAATAAAAGTGGGTATACTTAATTTATTCAAGCTGAGTAAAAAAATACAGGCCTTTGGCTTGACTCCCACTGCGAGCAATTCCACTTGAGAATCATGCATAAACATAATCGCCCACTCTTCTCATCCACAGGTCTGTTTTGATGATTGTTCAATGAAAACCAATAAAATAATTATTTTCCATCCTTTTTGAAAATTGAAATGACCAAAATGATCGACCATATTCACAAAGCATCCATAACCAAAAAAATTGCATTCTCTGTGTTTTGCTTATAGCCTTTTCTCCTCTATCGTGGCTGAAATGAGTTTGCTCCTGACCTTATCCGTAGCCTTTTTCTCCTCCTCGTCACCCGCTGGTCACGTGATCGAGCGGGAACTAAAAAAATATTCGGATTTTCTTGGCCCAGTTATCTTCTGTCAGGAAGTGATGATTAATTGCCGAGAATATATTCGGATTTTCTCTTGGCCCAGTTATCTTCTGTCAGGAAGTGATGATTAATTGACGAAAATGGTAAAAATGTCGGGTATATCTAAATATTGTTTAGTAGTTGATAAAAGGAAATCAGCTGGTACAGGAAAGAAAAGTTTATATAGCGCAATGTTTTCTAAACGTAAGTCCTGGCAAAGATGGGACGAGCAGTGACGTCTTTATGGGACTCAACTTGGGGCAACACTTCCGGTGTAATCTGTATATATACCCTTGTGTTAAACGCTAGCGATTATCAGTTTCTGCTTAGTAGGGCTCCTGAAGGTTGCGGAAAGCAAGACTTTGTCGGAAAGAAAAGAAAAATCATATCAAAATGTCGAGCCAAAGGAAGTTCTTCGTGATCGGGAACTGGAAGATGAACGTGGACAAAGCCCGGATCGACAACATCGTCAAGTTCATGTCGGCGGCCTCGTTGGACCCCAACACAGGTCAGTTCCACACATCTACTTCAGTTCGTGTTAGGATGAATGAGTAAATGAAGATAAATTCAGTTCATGATTATGCAATGTCCACAAAAGCGAGATATTAATTTTCTTGTCCCAAACAGAGGCCGTGGTTGGCTGCCCTTCCTGCTACCTGTCCTACGCCCGCCAGAGACTCCCTGACGAGATCGCTGTCGCCGCTCAGAACTGTTACAAGGTAAGCTGCTCTTTTCCCACATGGAACAGAAAAGACGATTACACGAATGTCTTGTCTAGTCTGAGGAACATAACTTATATTGTGAAATGTCATATGACAAAAATCTTATTCTATCATCACTTGTGAACAGGTTGCCCACGGTAACTTCAGCGCGAGATTTCTCCCGCCATGATCCTGGACTCGGGCTGCGAGTGGGTCATCCTGGGTCACCCTGAGCGAAGGACCATCTTCAAGGAGTCAGACCAACTCATCGCCGAGAAGGTCGCGCACGCGCAGCAGACTGGCATCAAGGTCAGCCTTTTCTTCATTGCTTTTTATTCTAAGAGGAGAATGTTTTAAAAGGACTCGAATGGGATAGACATGGAAATTTGTTTTTCTAGATATGCATGAATTATTTAATTGATCTTAATGTGCAATTGCAGATAATCGCGTGTCTGTGCGAGACGTCGGAGGACCGCGAGGAGGGTCGCACGGACGACGTCCTGTTCGGCCAGATGAAGTCCCTCGCCGCCAGCATCAGCGACTGGTCGCGTGTGGTGATCGCCTTCGAGGCTCTGTGGGCCAGCAATACCGGCGTCCTGGCCACAGCTGCGCAGGTACAGGAGGCCTTGGCCAAGCTGCGACACTGGCTGCGCGCCAACGTGAGCGACAAGGTGGCCAACAGCACCAGAATCCTGTACGCAGGTTCCGTTTCGTCGAGCAACTGTCGAGAGCTGGCTCAGCTGGAGGACCTGGACGGCTTCCTGGTGGGGAGCGCGGCCCTCAGACCCGACATCGTCGACATCATCAACGCCCGACGACCCGACGTGTCCAGCCTCATTGCGCACTTCGACCGACCCGACGGCCGACGCGCCTGACGCGGGCGGCAGTGCGCTCTTTTTGCCCGCTGGGTTTTGTACAGATATTTATGGACGAATGTAAATATGGCGTTATCATCCTATGTATTTCTCATGTATTTTGTTATTCACCCTTTTAACCGCTAAGGATTTATTTTATTTTATTTAATGTGCTCTCTTTCAAATAAAGTATTTTGAGATATACACGGTCCTTTTATATTTTCTAAAACCTGTGTGAAGGAGCCCATACACGTAAATGTATACATATACATATGTATATATACATACATACACACACACACACACACACACACACACACACACACACACACACACACACACACACACATATATATATATATAATAATATATATATAATATATATATATATATATATATATATATTATAGACGTTTCTGCAAGAACTTTTCCCAGATATCCGCACCTTTAACAGACTTGCTGAGTACTAAACGGACATTCAGGTGGTCAGAGGACTGTCAACAAGCCTTTAACAACTTGAAGTACCTCTTGTGTACCGCCCCCGTCTTGCGAGCTCCTGATATCGGCAAACCATTTGTAATTCATGTTGACGCCAGTGATAGTGGTGTGGGAGCGGTCCTCTTGCAGAAGAACAAAAGTGAAGTGCTTCACCCGGTGTGTTATTTTTCTTATAAGTACAAGTCTTATCAAAAGTCTTACGCCACCGTCGAAAAGGAGGCCTTGGGAATAGTATTAGCAATCGAAAAGTTTAGAGTTTATTTAACAAACTCTGTTCATCCAGTCAAAATTTTCACTGATCATAACCCGTTAACTTTTATAGAAAATGTAAAGTTTAAAAACATGCGAGTGTTGAGGTGGGCTTTAACATTGCAGCCATTCAATATAAAGATATTGCATATTAGAGGCACACACAATATCATAGCGGACGCAATTTCAAGATCGTAAGTGTAGTCTATACACGCTGGCCGCTGACTCTACACTGCGGCGGACAGAAAGGAAAAAGGAACACGCTACCTTCACCCGTCTAGCCGAACGAGCTGTTCGGTAATCCTACATGGCAGTTAGCTAGTTGAACTTTTTCCCGTACGGGAAAAAGTTCTTTTTCTTGCGGGGAGGAATATTACATAATGGGGAAAATAAATTAATAATTAGTAAAAAGCTAAAATTGTCGGCTACTGTAACGAGGCAGTTCCTGCAGCCGCGTTTGCAGCCCCCCCCCCCCCGTCTTGAGGCCTACCCGTATGTCTTGGGAGATTTGCCTCGTTCACTCCACCGCCATAGGCCTGGGCAAGACCTCTGTCATTTGCTGTTTTTATCACATTCTGGGTTTGTACTTTGTATTCCTCTTTCATTAGGAATAGGGCGATATATTACATTTTAGTAATATATCGCATAGGCAGGATTCTTTGTTTATTGTCTGATTTTGTGTGTTTCGTCTGTTTTGTTTGTTCGTTTGTTTTGTCTGTTTACGTTTGTGACGGAATAAATAAATAAATTGTAATTAATGAGTTGATGTATTTTTTCAAATCATTTTACAATGAATAAATAATAATCATTACTGGTATACAATTCTTGATTAACAGTGAAAGATAATGAATATAATAAATAACGTATAATGAAGGATGAATAATAAGTGACAATAAGTGACTTTAATGAATTAGTTTGTATATAAATAAGAAAGGAATATAACATAATACAATTAAGAAAAGAATACATCATTGATAATGAACTTTGAAGAAAATAATATTAATGAGAGATGATGATAAATAAATGAACAATGAACAAAGTGAATGATTATAATAACTTGATGGCATTAATGAGCCTTATATGGAATGAAGAATAAAGTAATACAAATGAATTAACCAGAAGAATCTCGCAAATCACTAGTAGTACTTTTGCACGAGATGATGATGTTACGTGGTATTTAACCGTTCATACCAGGCCATTATCCTTCAAATTTGACTTCTCTTCTATGATTTTGCAAAAGCATTGGAGAATTCGAGTTCAGCAGAGCTGCTCTTCCCCTTAATTCTCTTGGTGACATACCAGCCGTAACAATATATATATATATAAATATATATATATATATATATATATATTATATGTGTGTGTGTGTGTGTGTGTGTGTGTGTGTGTGTGTGTGTGTGTGTGTGTGTGTGTGTGTGTGTGTGTAAACAAACACATGTATCCACACTATATATATATATATATATATATATATATATATATGTATGTATACGTGTGTGTTGCCTTTGTGGGTTATTGATTGACCTTTAGTAAACAATGGATATTTTCCTTTGAGTAGACAAAATAATGGAAAGATTATAGTCACTTATTTTTTTTTCTTTTGATGCTCACATTTTTACCGCTAAGTGGGATAGACGGCATTAGATATATGGAGAGAATTGTAATTATTAATCTATTGCAGACCAGATCTCCTTACAAGATGGAATTAAGGAGTTACTAAGCTTGGTTATTGTGAAACATTACAGGGAGGTAAAAGCTCAATCATAAAGAAGAGCAAGATGCACTGCACGAGTATGTACGAAATGGAAATTGATGAACAAATAGAAATGAAAGAGTATACGAAAACACAAAGAGTATTTTAAAAGTATTTTTCTTGTTCTAGTTATTTGTTGTATTGCTATAAAAAATGTGATCTGAATTATTTGTG